GAATCAGTATCTGAAGGACAATTTCATAAAAAAGAGTTTCCATTGAAACAGTCAGGTGTTCGTAGGAACTTTTTTCGATAATAACGGTTTCTTAAAAATCTGCATTCACCAGGAATCAAACCCATAACCCCTAGAATGTGTTGTATTAGTACCAAGATAAGCCAACATTACTTCCAAAAAAAGCTATTGATTATATTATTGGTAGTGCCATTCATAAAAAAAATTGATAAGAACGAAAAAAAACTTAATGTAAGCTTTCTGGTTGAGATTTAGAACTGTATTAAGAAAGGCCTCATATTTTAGTGTTTTGTCAACACTACTATTGCATCTACTTTTAAATGTAACTCATAAAATAGGCTCATCTGATGGCTAACGTAATAAAGTGTAGTCAAGAAGTGTGAAATTATTTGAATGCAAACTGGAAAAAGACATGACTGAACAAGAACTTGGATCAGAGATCTCATACCATAAATAACTTTGAATACACATTTTCTTTCCTATTCTGAAAAAAATAGCTTTCTCTTGATCAGAGACAACTGAATATGATTCTTTTACTATTTGGATTAGTATAACTTAATTTTTATACGTACTTTAAAAAGTTATACAGTATGAAATAAATTATCAAATTTACAGTATAAAATAACATTGTAACTAAAGATTATTATACCCAAACCTATCAATTTCGTGTGATAGTCAATGACAGCGTCATGTAAAAAGATTTCGATCTGAATTTTTCCTAAAATCATCAAGAGATTCTTCCTGCTTAAGGAACGAAAGATTCCAGATTATCAAAAAATATTTCGTTAGTTCTAGATGTAAAAAAGGGGCTAAATTAATGTGAAGAGCTCGTGCCTTACCTGAAAATTGACAGCTTAAATCAAAATGCAGATTTCTTTTTTTTCTGTTGTGTGTCATCTAAGTTTTTCAAGATGAACAACATTATCACGCATTTTAGAGAACCATGAAAACTGTATCTAAGATTGGGATGGTATTTTAGTTGTGCAAAGAAAATCCGACGAATTTAACTTTCTAATGGTAAACAAATTTACAGATGTATGCAATTATCCGTGCTTAAAAATGAAATATATGACAAATAGCGATAAAAAAAATTGTGCGTTATTTCGAAAAATTTTTTTGTACGAACAATCATAGGTATGCTAATACAGATACATAACTAAAAAAGGATATTGTTATGCAAATAACACGCAAAACTGATTGAAAAGTAAGAATATTAATTACAAAGAAGTTTTCAATCAATAGGCAATACACGTGTTATAAAAAAAAGCAAATTAAAAAAATCATGTAGATTAAAAGAAATCATTTAATATTGTAGTATATACTATACAGGATATAATATAATATTTTATTATATTACAGTTTTTTTTTAAAACCACTAAAGAAATAATTTTAATTTAGTATATTTACTTATGTTTTTTTTCGAAAATAAAGATTCTCAACAGTTTTTTTATAAAAAAAATTTAACGTTTTGATAATTTCATGTACGTATTAAAGAACTATATTTTAAAAGAAGCTTATTATAAGATTTTGTACTAAAAATCTTGTTACATTGTTTATGTACTGCCTTTAACGTATTGATTTATTTTTTTCTATTGTGTTTATATAAAAGAAGGTAAGAAACAGACAAGGTTTTGTTCCAGAAAAAAAGAACAAAGAGCTTATGCATAAAAACTTATATCAAGAGGACGATAAATTGGAGGAAGCACGTTTAAGTGTGCATATTCTTCATTAAAAATATCCCAACATATTTTAGCTATCTTGTACTTCATAAGCGATTTTCCATTCACTTTTTGTCAAACGTAATATTAGTGAATCTTTTTTAAAGAATTTTTTACCATCTTTAGGATAATGTTCACGATATTGTATGCGTTTTACAGTTTATTCTTATGTGATGTCGTAAATGTACCAGATTGTTCAGTTTTTCTTAATGCATAATTTTTTAATTATTTAATTATCGTACATAACATTATGATACATGGAACATTACTTTATACAAAAGTTTTAAGAAAAGATTCCAATCGCTTTGTCTTAAGAAGTAAAAAAACAAATTAATTTACTACTTATTATCATTAGTATTCTTTTTCTATTGTATTTGTATGTATCAAGTCCATCTTTTGCCTTCATGGGTAGTGTAATAAAAATAAATACAAAAACTTTAAATAATTAACTTTAGTATGTTTTATTAGAGCTTATTTTATAGTTTATTAAGGTATACTTTTTATAAATCATAGTTAGAGTACATATGCTATGCATTATAAATAATAAATAAAACTAAAACTTTATATGATTTAAAGATAAAATTGTTAAAATCGATGTTATTCAGTATATGTTTTGCAAGAGAGATTGTGCAGCATCCAGGGACTCCCCTAATTAATACAGTAACAAATCAATGAGAAAATGTGGAGAGTCTGTAAATAATGGTAGAAAGTTTGTGGTAGGAACAAACAAAATTAGGTGGGAAAGAACTAAGGGTTGGCTAGAGGTAGTTGTGGATGGTGGATGATCGATAGAAAGATTTTTCTAAAATTTTATATAACAAATAAATTTATTGAATATTCCTTCATTTTCTAGAAAGTTAATTGAAGGCCTGCAAGGAAAGGTCAGAGTTAATGGTGGGACTGTACAGAGGATGATGAAGGGCATTTGCAAAATGCCCCACAAAAATAACTGTACACATTGTTAAGTATACGGTTGAAAAGCCGTGAAAGGTATTAGCTATCACGCTAAGCCGTTAAACGTATTAACTATCACGTAATCAAACATGTTGCTAATGATTTTCGATTGTTACTTGGAAGCGTAACAATTTAAGGGGCCCGTCCAAGATACGAATGTCAACAATTTTAAGATTGAAGAAATCTTGCATCAAATACACACTAATGGAAGACATCAAAATTATGAAGTAATAGCTGGAAAAATCCAAAAAGCGAGGATTGGAATTAAGAAACCAGCTAAAAATACAAGAAAAATTGTGAAAACTCAGGATGAAATGATAGCAAAGTTCAAAAGTGATCTAATTAAGCTGCAGGAAAATCGTAAGAACTTGCAAGTTCAGCTTAATGATGTACAACAAGAAAAGTGGGGACACATTACTTAAATAACAGAAGGATCATGAGATGAAACTCCAGCAGTTGAGGTTTACACTTTCTGATGCTCATGCGATGGTCGCGGTTCTACCAACTAAGTGGAATACACTTTAAGCTAAATAGAACTCCTACTTAAACAAAAGACAGTTACGGCAGAGGGAAAACACGACTTCTCAGGGTCAACAAATCCGTGGTATAAGCCAGATAAATATTACTGAAACTCTTTTGCCACAACAACCACAATCGTCATAACTGCCACAGATCACAGTCAACTGGCTCAGCATGCATCTTTTGGGTAATCTCTTTCGAATGGTTAAGTGATAGATTCATTTCCACCTTTGCTTGTTTTGGTTAGTAATTATGACGATAGTTATATGTTTAGTAATTTCTCTAATCAATTAAGTCTGATCGCCAAGTTGAATGGTTGGGATGATAATAGTAAAATGGTTGCTCTCATTTCTTGTTTACGTAGAAGATCAAGATTGGTACTTGATAATTTTTCCGAGTCAGAAGGGCTCTTGAATTTGATTTCAAAGTTTAAGGTTTATTTTTAGAAGAAGTATTTGTCAGTGACGTGTTATTCTCAACTACAGAATAGAAAGCGGACGCTCAATAAAAATTTTCAAGTTTAGCTGCTGATTTACCAAAGCTAGTTCCAGGTGTTTACCCTAAGTGTCTGTTTGCTACTGCAAATGAGATTTGTTCTTTACAGTTCACTATTCGGATAGCTAATAATTTCATTAGGGAAGTGGTTTAATTAGAAAAGATCACATTTTTAAGAGTTTTTCTATAACGGGCAATGTAGGTGAAGGCAATTTTTAAAGAAAATTAAAGACTTCCAGGGATTAACGTTATTGCAGAAGCATACAGAGCAGTGCAGTCCAGATTTAATTTAGGAGCAAGTAAGGAAAGGAGACCTTTGAATGCCACCAGTTTTTAGTGCTGAGTTTGTCTAAAGAAGGACCATATGAAGTATAATTGTCTTTAACTGCATGCATTCAATTGGCAGGAAAACTACGTTTGGTTGAACTTACAGGAGCAAGTTTAACAGTAAACAAGCCTGCTTTTGTACATTTAATCTTGAATAACAGAAGAATTGATGGAAATTTCAGTTAATTTATGCTTAAAGCTACATTAAATAACCAAACTTGTAATTTTGCATTCGGTTCTGCTTCTGACGTAACCATTTTAAACTGAAAATTTTTTATTAAAGTAGGCATTTCAACTTTTATTTATTCTAAAACACTAAAATATCCAATAGGTAAGGATATTCATTTAAAGTTTGGCTTTGAAGCATTTGTGGTCTTGGGAAAACATGAGGTTAAGACTATCGTGTAAGTAGTAGATATGGTTGATGATTGTATTCTTGGAAGTTTTTTTTTTTAATTAGGTAGGTTTAATACAGAAGATTCATAGTTTGATATTTAAGAAACTAGATTCTAAATATAAAGATCATGCCTCTGTACGACGAATTTTTAACCTACAGGATAGCGTCCCAGTTAATTAACAGGATATATTTCAGCAACATTTGGAGGAGTGAGAACACCGCAAAAAGTCATAATTTTCAGATTGGCTAATCAAATGTCAAGATATTTTCGAAGATGATAATGTTTGTGGAAATATTAATAAGTCTGAAGAAGGTTTTTCTTCTATTCAAAAAAGCTTATTATTAAATGAATTAAAAGACGTGTAATTTTGTCAAGAGAGACACTAGACAAGGTTAGGAAGAATTTCTACTGGGTTACTTGCAAGAAGGGTGTTAAGAATCTGTATCGTACGTATATGAATTGTATTACAAAAAGAGGTACATGAGATAAAGTAATTAGTAGCATAATAGCTTATAACTTGAAAGTACCTTTTAAGACACTCCGGATGAATAATGTAGTTCAAGTTGCAACTTCTTCGATAAGCAATAAAGATCTCCTGCTTGCGATGGATAACTGTAGTGAATGGGTAGAAGCTTTTTTCTCATCCAATATAGGGACAAAAACAATAACTTAGATTATTGTTTATAAAGTGGTTTGTCGTCATGGTGTACTTTTATAAGTGCATGCTAACAAGAATATGAATTTCTTGAGAGTGAAATAGCACAATTTTTAGGCAAAAAGTCAATAACTACATTTTTGCATTTAAAATTCAATAATAAGATGAAATACTTACATGTAACAATTACTAACTATGTTCTAAATTTGTCGGCAAAAATCAAAGAGATTGAGGTCGTTGGATTGGTAAAAGTTTCAAGTCCTGCAGCTGTAAGAAAATATAGTATAATATTTAGTAAAAATCACTAACCTCATAAAATAGTATTATTCCAACTCTTTATACTGAATACACTATTTTTTTAAATAACAAAACTTCTAATCTTATAAAAGAAAATATTACAATTTATTATAGCATGTATTATGCCACGTACAAAGGTGTCGATAAATTGGATGATAAAATTTACATAAATTTCTGTACTAAAATATCAAACAATATTCGTGAAGGTTTGCCACTACATGAACTAATTTAAAAAGTTATCGCAATAGTTATGTTTAATACGAAATTTGTGTGTAGCAGACTGTTTGTTCAACAGTACATAAACAAAAATTATAAAATTATTTGTTTAAAATATTGAAGCTGAAATTATCACAGGAGAACAACTTGGAAATAGAGTATTTATACCGAATATCACTTTAAATATAGTTAATATCTTGTCATTATTTTTCATACGTGACAGACAGCAATTTCCTTCAGTCTTGGCATTCGCTGAGACAATTGACAAACTTCAAGACATGAAAGTAACTTTCAATTTGAAGCTCTGTAGTTACGTCTCGTGAGTCATTGTTATTTAAAAAATTTTACTTTATTTTAAAAAGATGGTACTTACACTTTTATGGCTGTCACAAACGGAAACAAAGGTGTTTTTAAAATATGGAATTTCGGTTTTGTGTTTTTGCTGAATTGAGTACAACTATGCGCAAGACGTTTAGTATTTACTGAAACTCTAATATCTAGATAAAATAAGTTAATGCATTCCTTTTCTATGATTAGATTCTTGCACTTCCTGTATTTATCATCTATTCGTAAACACAGCAAATATTTAATATAGTTAATATTTCTTTCTACTGGCAGTACATATAATTTTTCACATCGAAAATATGTGGCACTTTGCTCCCTGAAACCAGAAAAGAAAGTCATACTTTTGGCAGGTGTACAAGAATAGAAAAATTACTGTACATTTATATAGTATTTCTCACAAAAAATTATGGTATACAGCATATAAAACGCAGCTCTATCAATAAATACTGTTACATTGGTCAATGACTTATATGTTGTCGAGTGATCAGACTATTTTTTATCTTGATATTAAAAACTCTACCTTAATACTCTTTGAAGAGGTTGAATACAGTCTTTGAACACTTAAAATAGGGATTTTAATGTTCTTGTAAGCTTTTCAAGTCGATAAAATAAAATATTGTTATTTCTAAAAACTATAATAAATAAGCTTAGTCCCACATTTTTGGTATGGCAATTTGAAAAGTAACACCTTATATGGCCACTAAATTCAAGTATAAAAACGTGTACTTTTTCATGGGTGGGGTGTCAAAAGGGAGTCAAGGGTTTGGGAAGCTCATGGCATCACCAATAAGACATAATTTAGCTCATTTATATGGCATAAAGGCCCCACTGTTTTAGACCTAACCAAAATTATGACTTTTAATTTTGAAAGTCATCATTTCCTCGATAATAAGAATATATAGAGATAAAAATTTAAGGATCACGTAAATCCGCTGTTTAAAAAGTATAAACATATATTTTTACAATTTTTTATCTAGTACAACGATATACTGTTTTAAGGTCTTAGCATTTGTCCCGTAACAGCTTACGTTAAACAGTTCGTTATTTATTTTTAAATAAAATATAAAACACATAAAGATACCGCAATTGCCATAGGATTGATCAAGTATGATTTACATATTGATCATATTTTCAAAGAAGCAAGTAACTGCATGCTTTCTCATTAATTAAAGAAACTTTTCGCATGGTTTTTAATATTGAAGAATATACAAGGTGATAAAATTTGGATTACGTATAAGAACTTCTTTTGTGAGGATTTTATTCGTAATTAAGAAAATTGTGCTCTTCTGCACATTAACCTCATTTTTAAACTTGAAGATAAATCATTTAAATCATTTAATTTACCTGTACTGATTAAACTTAGCCTACAAAACAGTTATGACGCAGAGGAAGTTGCATTCTGTAAACGTATGCTTGATTCGATGTATGCTTAGCTAAACAATGAAAAATTAAATAATTTCAAAATTGTAAAGTAAAAAAAATTACATAAAATCGATTTAATAATTGGAGACAAGGCTTTTAGAATTCTCAATAAAGCTTTAAAGAAAGTAGACAGAACTTGGCATGATATATGAAGTATAAATATACATTTTGAAAGTAAATTAATAATTTTGGGAAGAGATTTCTGTCAAAGACTTCCTGTTGCAAAAATTCTAACTAAAGTATGGCAATATCAGAAACTATGAAGTTATCATTTCTTTAAAGTTTTTTTATACTTTAAAATAAAATTAAAATATTCGTTTGGTTGATACAAATTTTTCTAAATTACTTATAGAAGTTAGAGAGGAAAAACTAAAATTACTGATCATTTCTGAAAAATCGAAGGTCAATGATGTATGTTTAAATATTAAGTAGAAATAATTAATCTTTGTTAAATTTTGTTATTATAACCTCTCATAATATGCACACTATTTTTTTAATAACAAAATTTTCAATCTTATAATGGGAAATACAACTTATTGTAGCATGGATCATGCCACGTTCAAATATGTCGATAAATCAGATGATAACGTTTTCATAAATTTTGCTATTGAAATATTAAATAATATTTGTGAAGGATTGCTACAGCATGAACTAAATGTGAAAGCTAGAGTAATAGTTATGTTAATAAGAAATTTGTGTAAAGCAAACGGTTTATACAACGACGCACAAATGAAAATTAGAAAATTGTTTAAGTACATCATAGAAGTTTTAATTATCACAGAAAAAAAATTTAGAAGTAGGGTGTTTATATCGAAAATCACCTTGACTACAGGTTTTACCTCGTCGTTACTTTTCATACTCTACAGAGAGCAATTTCCTTTAGCCTTGGTATTCACTCCTGGGTGGTATAAGAAAAAAAGTATACGTAGTTGAAAGCTCGCTTACAATAAGTAGTAGGAGTTGCCGCTTGCGATTGCTACCTACAGCTAGTTCAAGATCAAGTACAGTTTGTGTATACAACAGCCTATCCATGTACTATAGACTGAGCTGCTACAAATCGGTAGAATTGTCCCTAATATTACAAGGAGTGCTGGATTGGTAGCTTATTGTGGGGGGCTGTGGTGGCTGCTTAAGGGGAGGTGAGGGGGCACTTAGAAATGTGCGAAGTAGATTCGGGGGGAGGGGCATTCAGAAAAATAAGAAAGATTTCTTGTTGGTCAAAACAGCGGTTACAGTCACGGAATTTTCCTTGATTTTTGTGGTGCCTGCAGGGGGTTGTGGGGGGCTTTAAAAATTGTGCAGGTGGGCTGTGGGGGGCAAGATAAGGTCTTAGTGGGTCATTGGCTATTATTTTATTGGTTAAAAATGTCATGGACAGTAATCGAATTTTTTCTGATTTTACAAGGGGGTTGTAAAGAAGTGCAAGGGGAAGGTGGTGGGGCTGCTGGAACAGGTGTGAGGGTAGTGTGAAAGGTGCGACTTTTACAACTATATTATATATATGTATATATATATCTCTCTCTTCCTTAATTATACAGTTGTTTTTAGGGGATTCGGCCTCTAATCCTCCTTCATCCCCCTCCATCCTCCTCCATCCCCCACCCATCTCCCATGAATTACCTTTTTAATCGTTTGTTTTCTTGCTGTTTTAATAATTCATGACACCCTTCTCTTTCCCCCTCTATCTCCCATGCATCCACCACCCATCCTCCCTTATCCTCCCCTTCTCTGCAGTTAAAACATCTCTTGGGAGTTTAAGGGTATAGTTGCATTTTGTTAGGCTGTTAATTTAATGGCGCCATTCAATTCGAGCGTAGTACACGATACATTTTTAAGAAGACTTCACGTTGTATGACAGTTTATAAGATATATGTTTAAGAAGTCTTGAAATTGTATGACAGTAAAATTTTTAGAATAATATTCTGTAGTGATAAAGAAGAATAAATTAATTGATTTCGAAAAATTTATACACTATAAATTTACAAATTCTAATTTTTTATCTTTTTAAACCTTCTTATCCTAAAAATTCTTTTCCTCATTTTGAACAAACTTGTTCAATTTCACATTTACTGTGAATTTTTATATTACATGTGTTGATCTCTTAAATTTTTTATTACAATGTACGCATGTGAATGTTTTTTCTCAATTATGCTCTTTTTGATGCTTAACGAAATTTTGTTTCTAAGTAAATGCAATTTTACAAAAATTACAAGCGTATAACAATTTTTGATGTGTCTTTTTATGATCTATTAATTTTTCAGGGTTCGAAAATTTTCACGTGATATTTCCCATTCGGTGAAAAATGATTCGTTTTAGGAGGTAATTTTATAGAAATTCTTTTTAGTAATAAAGCATGGGTGTAAAAGCTCTTTAATTTTATTATATAGTTATTATACAACTAGTAAAACTATAAAGTATTCATTTCTATAAAAATACTTAAAAATTTTCAAATTAAAAAATAATATGTGGAGTACATATAAACAATTTTTATCATTATTATTGGACATTAGAAACAGAATCATAAAGTCTTTTGAAATTCCTTAGGGATAGAAAACTGATAACATTTGTAACCAAATGTATGGGGATGGTAGAAGTTGCTGATTAAAAAAGAATCATTTTGACACCTTATAACGAACGCTCGCATATTTTAAATAATCAAATTTTGAGTTTTATTAAAAAGACAGTACATATTTATTACAGTATAGATTATGCACAATATAAAGTTATTGATCGCACTAAAGATAATATAAAAAAATTTTTCAAAATAAACTCTGAATTCAATACATAAATGGTAACCCCTTCATGTTTTTAATGAAAAAATTTATGCTATTGTTATGTTAATAAGAAACTTGAGTATATTAGATGATTTGTGCAATGGCACTAGACTACGCATGACAAAAATATTAAAATATAATTTAAAGGCAGAAATAATAACTTGTCAAGAATACAGTAAAAAAGATTTCAAACCCAGAATTACTTTCAATACCGGTAAAAATATTTTTACCGTTAATTATACAGAGAAAACAGTTTCTTTCAGTTCAAGCTTTTTCCATGAAATCAATAAATTACAAGGTCAAAGTTTCGACAAATTAGGATTTTTCTACGAAAGACCTTCGTTTTCTCTTGGACAACTATACGTATTGGTATCAAGATGTAAAAATCCTAAAAGTATATTTATACAAAATGATTCGGAGAATCAATAAAATATTTAAAATGCTGTATGGCAAGAGATTTTTGATCGTTTACGAATTAATTATTTTGTTGTCAAAGTTAATTCTTTATAATTCTTCCTTTTTTCTATAAGAAAATAAGTTTATTACGAAAATTAGACTTTGAACGAGTAAAAACAAAAAAAATTACTTATTTATCTCAAAACTGTATTTTCAAGTTCTTACTTAAAAACAATAGAAATACTCACACTACTAAACTTCCTATGTATATTATAACCTTATGTTATATATGTATATTTGACCTTTATCTTGACAGTCTTAAAGTTTAGTTAAAA